ATCTCTCTAAAAGACAAAATTTTAAATATAGAAAACAATTATCCAAAGTAAGACCCAGAGATTAGATCTATGAAAGGACTTATAAAAATAGCCAAATTAGTTTTTGAACTCTGAGAACTTGATGCTTTTATTTTTATAAAAATGTAAATTCCAAGTAATTTTAAGAGAATTAATGACTCTTTGGGAAGCAGTGGTCATAATTCTACTTGTATATACATAAACAATTTCCCCTAGATGAAATACTGATTTAAATGTGTGTTTTTTTTAAGTTTCTCAATATCCTTTAGTATTGAGATTTGTTGGTCTTAGTATCAAAAGAGCAGAAACAATGTGAAAGCCTTTTGATGTGAATATATGGAAATATTGAAGACATCATGAGGTAGTCTTTTGTATTCATCAGGATTTGCTTAAGTAAATAGGGCCTAGCTAGGTAGTTCAAAAGAGGGGATTTAATAAGGTAATTTAGATTCAAGGTGTGGGAAGAGCAGAGACAGCTGGAGATTAGCAAAAGCAGGAAAGATGTCTCCAGCCCACCACCCCTGGCTGCCACGGATCATGGATCCCGGCAGAAAACATGGGACTCCTGGGTCAGAGGCAGAGGCCTCCATCACTCACCGCAGGCAGCACGAGTGCCATCTTCTCAGCAGTTCTGTCCTGAAGTCCTGCTGGCCATGGAGCAGCCCGGACGGATGCTGCGTGTATGTGTCACAGCTGAGGAATCTGAGTTTGGGAACTCCTGATCTTATGCAGTGGCTGCCAGCGGACCTGCCTAACCTTTGCCCTGGAAGAAAACACCACTCCTGTTATCCTGGTCAGCAATCAGATCTGCCCTATGCCCTGAGGGGACCGTCTCTCCTGAGGCTGTTTGCTCTACCAACATACCGGTAACTACAGTAAGGAACAGGAGAAATGCAGACCCATGAGTGACCCAGGAGGAACTGTTTCCTAACAACTACGCTTTCAGCCAAACGTCTTCAGAAGAGTTTGCTGAGGTTTAAGTGAAAGGAGAGAAGAGAGTAGCAGCAGGAAATGGTGTGGGCGTCGCTCTGTGACATCATATGCTAATCTCAGGCGCTGACAAATAAAAAGTAAATGTGTTTATGTTTGTATTGCCTAAATGGGAGTGAGCAGAATCAGCCAACCCTTGTTTATATCTTTATGAGAGTCTTCTCAGTATAAGGTTCCTTGCTTTTGGGTTTTCTTCCTCATCCACTGAAGGACATAAGACCATCTGTATGATGCTCAAATAAAGGTATTAACTGTATCTCCAAAAGACACTTTGGGCCGAAATCACGCTCTTAGGCTGTGGGCTTTTTGAGATCGTGTACTTGCAGCTTTCGAATAAAATAGGAGTGTTTTAACTTCTATCCAGTCTTGTTGAGCTGTGACAGCCACTCTTTCCAGATGCTAAATAAGCAACACCTGGTTCATTGCTCTGCGTCCCAGTGAACTGACCGCTGTTTCAAAAAGAATGAAACCAAAAGTTAGTGCCAAAATGGGAAGAAGTTAGGACAAGTGTGTCAAGAGCTGAATTAACTGCTTCCGGGTCTAGTTGATTTCTACATTGAAGCTGAAACATCTTTCCTGAATCCGACCCCAAGCAAAATAAGAAGCAATGACTGTTGTCTGCAGGAAGAAGTCCAAGGTCAGATACCGAGGGAGCTGTGGCTGCATGGGTTGCAGAAGTTTTACAGCATCCGAAGGAACTTCTCACTGACTGCGGCAACTGAGTCACCACAACAGACCCTCACAGACAAGAAGCAAAAGAACATGGAAGACATGGGGCCATCTTCTGTGAATTCTTCCAATACAGCAATCGTTTAGAAATGATGTCACAATGTCATTTTCCCCTTTATATATGTAAGCATAGGCATTTATTTGCACTATAAATATAAATTGTCTTACATGTTTTTGGTAGACACACACTTATGACCCTAAAAATCCTACAGATGAAACTTGTGCATCACTTTTAATTCAGAAATTACTACAGCATTTTAAACTGCATTTTTGTCTTAATGCTTTTAATTGAAGCATTATTATAATATGAAAAGTTAAGGGTGATTTTTATATGTTATTTTGTTGAATGCTTTTACTAAGAGAAGCTTTGGAAAAAGTTTAACACTAACAAAATCTACTAATAAAAAGGCTTGGCACATTGTCATTGTGCATATCGAAAAGGCCAGATTATAATACATTGCTTGAATGTAACAGCGAAATTAAAAGTTGCTGGATAAATCAGATGCATTCTTTAACATCTGATAGAGTGTCAGTGACACAAAATACTTGTATTAGTTTGCTATGGTCGCTATAACAAACTGCCACAGTTTGAGTGGCTTAAGCAACAGATAGCAGTTTTCTTATAGGTTTGCAGGCTGAGAAGTCCAAGGGGAAGGTGTCAGCAGGGTTGGTTTCTCCTGAGGCCTCTGTCCTTGGCTTGCAGATGGCCACCTTCTTGCTATGTCCTCAACTGGCCTTTTCTCAGCACATCCATTCCTGGCATCGCTTCCTCTTTCTACAGGGATACGGGTCCTATTGGCTTAAGGCCCCACCTATGGTCTCATTTAGCTTTCATTAGCCTCTTTAAGGACTCTCCCTTTAAATGCAGTCCCAATGCAGGTTAGGGCTTCAACATATGAGTTTGGATGGGACACAATTCACTTCATAACCATACTTAGTACATAGTTTTGAATGTCAGATGATGAATGGATTCTCTAACGTTTAGGAGAAGACGTAAGCATCTGAGATGTGTGGACAAGATTTGTACCTTTGGCCAAGATCCTGAGACTATATCCACATTCCACTTTTCAAATACAAATTTTCCACTTTTCTGCAATGAAAGATTGAACTAGAATAAAGAGGAAGTATGAATGAATGAGGAACATTGGTAAAGGTCTCCTAGAACTGAAAACCATGAAAAGTGTGAGAAATTGGGAAAGTAAGTGGAAAAACATGGGATGGCTCAGGTGACGATCGTACGGAGGAAATTATTCTCAGTGGCTTCCCGTAATTTGTTTCCGGTAAACAAAATATGTGTACTGGGTTTCCCTAGTGCTTAAGATTGACCATTTGGGAAGAAACATGTTTCTCAGATAAAAAAATAGAAGGAAAAGCACTTCATTAAATTTCGGGAAGATGAATTTACCACTGATGATCTACTGTATGCTAAGTAATAAACAAATTATGATACATTAGAAAAAAGAACATAGAGTAGACAGAAGAGTGATTAATATGAGATTCATTTTATGGATTAGTTGATGTTATTAATGGGTATTGTTGTCACTAATTAAAGGCTTATGTGTTTAATTACATTTACCGCTCCCATGAGAAACTGGCTTTCAAGGTGACCGCCCTTTTGTCTTAGTGACATTTCATAAATGAGCCTTGCTTCTACCCCTTACAGTAATGGCCGATACTCCAGTGTATATGAGGATATTTACAGAGATTCTCCAACTGTTGGGTCTGGGGTAAATCTAGAAACATGCATGGTTAACAAACATCCCAAAGATTCTGAAAAGCACAGCACTATTGTAACCCAGTCATTTGGCTGTTTCCTCACACTTCCCATCTCCCAACCACGAGATGTGAGTATGGTTAGTACACCTATTTTCATAATAAGGAGGAAAATTTTGAAATATAGCAAATTACAAAAACTATAAAAATTGGTTGCAATGTTGCTGTTTGGAGCCATATTACAAAAAATAATTACCTTCAACAGACCCAGGCTTTTACATACACTGAATAGGGCCCTTTTGTGGCAAGATGTAGCAGTTCTGGAAATGCCTCACTGCTAGAGAAGTAAAATCAAATAAATACGTTCAAGCCCTTTGGCTTCACCCTCTGTTAAAATGTAAATGCTTCTTAGTTCTCCGTGGCTTTGAAGGGCCTCATATCCTCTCAGGTACGTCCCCGACAGCATCTTCTATGAAGGGTGGTAACACTGGCTGCAGAGGTAAGGGGAGTATAGGGGGAGGGGAGCATGGTGGGGACGTGCAGACCACAGCCAGCAAGCAGGCCTCTCGGGTTCAATTTGACTGAGGTGATCTTTACAGCCACCGGTTTTGCCAAGCCAGGCACTAAACAAGGGGCAAGTGTGAGCTTTCACTGATTAGGGGCTTGTCCATTGTCTGTGAGAAAGTGCACGCTTGCTCAGGTTGCGTCAAAGAAATGTGTACTAAGACCACATACAACCATTTCTGGATGTGTTTTAGAAACCTGGTGTGAATCAATAAAAATGAGTTTCGTTCTTGAAAATGTCATGTCCAGTATTGTTCTCTTCGAACTAATCACATGCCGGAGCGCATGATGTGATGGTGTGTGGATCTCTTCAGCGAACCTTAATTTTGTTTCAAATAAAATGTGCCCCACTTGTATCACAGAGCTTCTCAGGGAACATACTCTTTTAATATGTACAAGATTCTATCCCAAGAGCAAGGTAAAAGATCTTTTGAGAAAAGAGCCATTGAGTAAAGGTGGAAGGAGGTGTTAGGAAAAATTATAGCACACGGAATTGGATAAAAAAGAAACGGTATCCTCTGTCCAGGGTATCTGTTTCAGAGGAGGCTTCCATTTCCATTTTTTCAGCTATTTTACAGTTCAATAAATTGTGGAAAGCTGATAGTAAAGCAAATAATTCTTTGTCATAGAAATGCAAACGAACTTGCCTGGTGGATTCGTTTATTGATTGATTATTGGTGTGGCTGTTGACCAGCATTCCTGATTGGCGATATACCCTTGAAAATCAACTTGGAATCAGTTGTTCCATGTCATTATGCCCTTCTTCATTAATGAGTGGGATTAAATTGCTTACAGGTGTTCATTTCATTTTTTTTTTCCAGTCATGATTTTACTTTAAAAAGAGTTACCCTTCAACAGCTGATCATGGAAGGATCTTTATCCGAACCTACGTTACGTCACCCACATTTCATCCTCACCTTTTAAAAGAGCAGATTTCAGGTTAATATTTTAAATAAAGCCTAAGGCCTATTTTCTTTTTCTTGTAGCTTCAGACAAGCTTGACGGAACCAATGACGTTATCCAAATCAATATCTCTCCCTCGCAGTGCGTACTGGCATCACATCACTCGTCAGAACAGCGTTGGCGAGATCTACAGTTTGCAAGGCAAGTAACGTTAACATAACGAGCAGCGCTGCCCTCCCCTTCCTCCAGGTGGGCCAGGAGTCCAGCAAACGGCTTTGTACAGTATTTGCATTGCTTGCTCTTTCCTCCATTTCCATTTCTCAGCGTTCACTGGCCCTAGTGGGAGCTCTGAGATTGACAGAGCTTTAGGTTTTCCTAAAGCTATCATTTCATAGACTCATAAAAATAATTCCCCAAATCACCCAGGGCTGAGGACCCGATTTGGCATGTGTTAGTTTAACTAACACATTACACGAAACATTTTATCAGAAGCTGAAAGTACCTGGTACCAGGGCCTATTTCATGCTGTGTTTTACAGAGTATTTCTTTCTTCGCGTCTTTTTTTCCATAACAGGATGGAATATAAATTCGGGAGGATGACTTCAGGCTCTGTAATAACATGCTATATAAACCTACTCACGAAAGTTTTAAGGTTTAGCCAAAGCCTTGACGTAGAATGCATTTGGGAGGGTGCAGGGCAGAAAGAGATCATTGTAAATGCTTTGTAGTTTTCTTAATGATAAGTGATTAACTCGCTTGGGAATGTCTTGCCAGATTAATCAAATTAATAGATAGCAGGTATTTAGTCAACAACAGCAGAAACCTTCCCTTTGGTGCTCCTCTTCCTAGTCCTCCCCTTTGCCCTAAAATGAATAATCTTAACCTTCAGAAAAAAAAAAATAGTCAGCTGCAAGCAGTTGACTGACAGCTGACCAAGACTGGAGGAAGGAGGAACTAAGAAAAATAAGGCTAACAAAACACAGTTGGAAACACTCATCCAACAAATATTTGTTGAGCACAATACGCTTGAACATAATAGGCATCCAATAAATATCTGGTGAAGGGATGACCGTGCTGACCTTCAACACAGTTACACATTCAGAGTATTTTTTTTCCTTTTATGCTTTAACTTTTGCTCATATTAACAACTCAAAACGTTTCGACAAAAAAAAATGTTACAAGCAAACTGAAATAGTGTATTTTTAAAGCAATATTTTCTTGTCATGGTTTCAAACCTAGACTAATAGGGTTTGATTGGTAGGAATTAATGAATAAAGATATGTTCTAGGGATTAAGTCAGCATCATGTTGGAGTGGTAAGATCTCTGTGTGCATCTCCTGAAAGCCATAACAAGTCGGATATCTATAACCCAGCAAAGGTTCCTCTGCTCAGCACACAAACACTCCTGAGAACCCACACGTTGGTTCATCTGGAGCCCTGGGGGGAACGACAGGGATGGTGTCCGCAGACACGGCTTGTCACCCACCCTGACCTCAGCTAACACATAGCAATAGAGGAAGCACTTGGGGTGCAGCCCCCACACTATGACCCAGCAGAGGGTAAGAGGGGCACAAGCAGTGGCAGTGCCTGCCACACCCTCCCACCATGGCAATGGTGCCCTGAGACCAAGGTGACTTGAACACAGCAGGGACACACCCACCACCCTGCTGGCCACCCAGTTATCCATCAGTTCTCATAATCACAATGACATCCCCCACCGTGACCCAGGAGATACCAGTAGCAAAGGTCAGAGAAAAGAAAAACTTGTGCTATATCACCATCTACTGGGAAACAAAAGAAAGACCTCTAGTTATCAGCCTTCTGAGTGGTTAAGATCAAAATGGTATCTAAACAACAAAAGAGTTCTCCACCTCGATTGTGCAGGCAGAGGAGCAACCCATCAAGTATTAATAGCATGAATAAGCAAGGTAACACGGCAGCACAGAAAGAAAAGGCAGGCCTCCAGAAACTAAACTCAAAGGCACGGAAGACTGTGATTTAAATGAGAGAGAATTCAGGCTCG